TACTCGGTATCGGCACCGATACTAGTATCGGTATCGGCACCGATACCGATACTAGTATCGGTATCGGTGCATCCCTAATTTACACCAATTTCTATTTACAACCATTCCCTCAGGAACCTAACCCCAGCATAAGTTGAGGACTACCTGTGCATAAAATGCCTATTAATCTTGCCAGAAATGTAGTGTCCATATTACTTCCTGTGAGTTGAACCAGAAGCATAAAACAATGTTCTCTTTCTTCTATAAACTACTAACCGCCATGGGGTGCATTAACAATGAACAAAGGTAGACATGTTTATAGTCCAGCCAGAGGAGCTACCATGTCTCCCTCCATAGAGTCAGTGGAGGAGTGAGCATTGTCACCCTAGGTCAAGAAATGTGTTATTCACAGCATTATCAGGTGAAAATAAAACAAAATAATAAAAAAAAAAAAACTAATGCATCCACCACATCTGATCAGTAAGCTGCAAAATATTACATTTTTGTTTTGGGGTTTAGATCCACTTTAAGCAGAAAGCATGGTCTGCATGTCAAAATAGCAAATATGATACCATCATGTACATATGCAACTACAACTGTATATAGACAAAAACGTTTTTTCAATATTTTAACACACATTTATAAAATGAGTTATATTGAGTTGATCATTCACACATAATTATATCCATGGCTTGAAAATGAATTTGTCTGCATGGCAGAACCCATAGCTGCCCCTTGATTGTGGGTCCACTGGTAGTGCACAACAAAAACTGCTCAAAAAACGTTATAACATACAGATTATAATATTTTTTTTTTTTTCCCTTTTTCTATCTTTTTGGTCTGTAATATTTTTGCTAATTTCTCCTTACACACTTTCCATCCTGTTCCCCACATGTCATCTCAGGTTGTATTTTGCTTTCATACATTGCAACAGTGACATACCATGCACCGCCGTATACTTATTTAATGTCCACAATACATTACATAATGTTTATTTGCCAATATTTACTGTTGCCATGAGCACCAGCTCTCGTTCCAAATTGGTTTATGATGTTGCTTTTGTTGCCTTTGCATTAGATAACAGCCTGTTATGACATCCAGATACCCCCTTTAATGTCTCCTATGCTTATTCCATTCGATTTTTAATGCTGCTGGCTTTATTGCGCATTATTCCTTGTTTTTAGCCTTAATATTATGGCCGCTGCGGTTGCTAAGGAACGCTTAGGGGAACTTTCCCCACCGCTAGAGCCGGAGACCACGGTCCTCTGTCCTGTTCCGCGCACGCATCGGGTGACAGAGGCAGTGACTTGAGTGCACACTTCCACCGCCGCTGGTTAACAGGAAAGGCCCTGCATGTTCCACCCAGCTTTCTCGCTGGTGGACAGGGACAGAGTCAGCTGGCGGCCCAGTGTCTTGTGGTCAGAAGCTGGACACAGCACGTGCTGGTTACTATTTAAACCGGCGCGCGCAATGTGACTCGTCCGTCATCGGCTTCCTCTCGTCATAATTTTCAAGCACTGTAAATTGCAAGGCTATATTCCGGTCATGCTGACTGGTGAAATTTCTGACTTGGTTTGGTGAGACACCCTAACATTTTTCAAGCCTTGATTATATCTATATAAGAATACGGGTCACCTTCAACCATAGCTATCCATGAACCATGTCTTTAGGACCCGACAACCAAACTTGTGATGCCAGAGCATTAGGCATGAACAATGGAAGGCCATGTAGGCTGGGACCTGGGGTGAAAAATTTCCAAGGTGGTAGCGGGTGGACCATTTTATCATCTTGTCGCCTTATTTTCTTAAGTAAGCAACACAAAGTTGAGCAACACTGTTGTCGCCAAAGAAACCTTAAAGGCAGTTCCCTGCAACAACAAAAAAATAATTTGCTTACCTCTGCAATGGCCCATGTCTCCAGTCTTTGTTCCATTTGAATAATTAGAGCCTCTGTCAGATTTTATTATTTAATACTTCCAGGAGTGTTGGCAGCCCCGTGTCCACTGCTATGTGCCGTGGTCACTGGAGGACACAGCAGGGGGTCAAGAATAGAAACCACAGCACACAGAGGGGAACACAGATGTCCAACACACCCCAAATGTCAATTGCTAAAGTGTCTGACACAGAGGCTGTAGCATTTCAACTGAGACACAGGCAACCAGAGAGGCAAGTATAAAATCTCTTCTTGCACATAGACGTGCTTATAAAGTAATTTTTTGGTAACAACAGTGTTGCTTTACAAATAAAAAGAAATGACCACATAATGACATGATGTATAGCTTTTAGTTTGTTTACATTGTAATATACAAAGTTACACATTTAGCTTGCATGGAAACAAAGACACCTGTCCACCAAGCTCGTCCAGTCCAGTGATTTTGGTTCAGAGATAGGCAAAACATGGTATGCAAAACAGCTTGGCTAGATTATACATACTCACAGACGAAAATAACCTAGTCGGTGGTTTAAAGCCCAGCCAAAACTTTTCTTTTACTGTGTCTCTTTGGAGGAAAATGCTGTTCCTTGTCACAGCCTGACACACAGGAAGTGACTGGGACTAGAAGTGAGGGGAAATCTTGCTAACTGGAAAAAATGTTTTTATATTTGGGCCCTGTTCACATCTGTAGATTTTGGGTGTGTTGCTGTAAGAGACTTACCGGAAGTCCAGTCTGAACCCGGAAACATGTGCACACCATGGTGCACGGTCATGTGCGAAAACTCATTGGAAAACATGTTTGGCGCATAGACGCACACACACGGGGATGGTCACTTGCAAATAACGTTTGTGTGCGCACTTTTGTGCATAGACACGCTTGTAAGCATTCCCTATTTAAACAATGTCTGAGCATGGAGCTAGTTGCTGTTTCGTCATTGGTGTTTACCCTGCGTTCCTGCTTCCCTGTGTATTAACCCAGCTTGTGACCCTTGGACCTCACTTCTTGTCTACTGATCTGGCACCTTGTGACTTGGCTTATAGGTGTATGACCCTGGCTTATGATCCTGACCTTGCTCCTGCCTGTTGCTGCAGTAACACTGCTACTCTACCCTCCTGTGTATGATCTCGGCTATGGCTGACTCTGCTTCCGGCCATCCGTCTGGTTCCTGTCTAACCTGCTGTCCAGTGTCTGCTCAACTGGTCACCCTCGGCATGATGCTCCCTAGCTCCAGCGACCAGAGGTTCTCCAAATTGCCCAATTCCTGCAGACTTGTCTGCTCCTTTCTCTACCTTGAGCATCTGTGGACAAGACCTCATCCAGCTGCCAGCACAGGTGTCTGTGCCACTCTGCATTACCCACATTCTCTGTCTCCACCTCCAGAGGTGTGGGGCAAGAGGTGCACGTGTAGCCCCTTGCCTACTCGGTCTCCAGCCAGGTACGTGACAGTTATGGCAGCTGCACATTGCAAAAGTCCTGCTTGCTGCATATCTGATGTGGTCTCCAGCTATACATATGTTACCTAATGATCTGTGCTAGCGCCTAAAACACACTGCACTCACAACACACAAAATCACAGAGGGGTGAATAGAGCTTTTTCTAAATCATCCCCACCCTATCGAAAACTATAAAAAAAAAAAAAAACTAGACTTGGGTTTTTAAGTCTGGAAAAGTAGTTAGATTATTTTTTGAGCCTTTTGGCTTGTTATTTTTTGTTTTGTAGTTGATTTTTGTAACATGGTTTTGCACCATAAATCCAGCCTTGTGACAACATCAATGTATGATTTATGTAAATATACATAGTCATAAGTGTCCGCACACAAAAAAGTGTCTAAAACTAAAACTTTACAGAAGGTCCCCAATACACTTTCAAGCTAGCCAGCAAAACAAACTGTTGCAAATACATGTAGAAGCCATACTGCCATATTAAGGCACCTCTGATTAGTGTGGTCCCTAAAGCTGGCCATACACTGTGCAGTTCTTGATAACCCGGCCAAAATTCACACAGTGGGTGCCCCTGTAGGCACCCTTCTGTCCAGCATCCTTCAATCAGAAAATAGAAGAAGCTGAATCTTCAGGGGAACAATGATGGCAGCCAATTAGCTGCCACCACTGTTCAAGTATTTTGACAGCGGTATACCCACTGCTCTCAGAATACAATAGCCCAGAGGGAAATTCATCCATCCAGACTGTTTAGCATGGATAGAGGAATCTGCTATCTTTGGTTTTTTTTTATAACAGGGTATGGCCAGCTTAACTCTAAACTATCTCAGCTATGAGCCTATAAGCAACCCTTTGCTCCTTAATGCTACAGTAAAATAACATTTGTCCATACTGATTATTTATTCATATCAATGTATCCAACTTGTACTGCAACTTATACTGTATTTCTTAAAAATATATTGTAAAACCAATGTAACATGTAGGCCTCTTTCAAACATTACAAAAAGACAGTAAATAGATCTTTCAAAGTTTAAAAATATCACAAACTCTGTTAACTTTAATGGGAAAATGAAAATCCCAGAATCTGCATATTTTTATTATGTATAATTTATATTTAAGTGGCATTGGCTTCATACTTCATGTCGTCATACTATATACATCAACAATGGTAAGTACTATGTATAAAATATTCGATGAACCTATATCATCATATGCAGCATTTATTTAAAAAAAACATTAAGACAAACTAAATATAACATCCACAAAGTCTCACTCGAATTACAATGCAATTGTTAAAGTCACACATCATGTAAAAATACTAAGAAAAATATGTACATATTTAAATAATTTAGCGGTTAGATAGTTTCACTTGAACATTTTGGATGACATCCTGTAATGTCGGGCAGACCTAAGTACACAAATTCAACATTTTAAACTTAATTAAAATATGATACATTGGTGGCTCTAGCTTGTTAAAAAAAAAAAGAAGAAAAGCTACAGTACAGTCTGTGGAATCCTGAGACAGGAAGTTTACAAAAGAACATTTTCAAAAGCTTCTCAACATATTCTGCAGATTTCAGTCCATGGATCATCTTCATCTACTGCTAGTAAGGATTCTGCACTAATGGAAGCACGTTCACTGTTTTGGTTTAGTTATCTCCTTTTTTAGTAGAGACAGAAGAAGTTCTTTAATGAAGATATGTTGGAGGATTCCACCGATACCATGGTCTGTATGAAGAAAGGAATTGGCAATAAAACAGACATTAAAATAAATCCTTGCTGTATACATTTAACTTCTATCTCTGATCTGTGTTCCTCACATATTTAAAGTGACATTAAAGGATACGTTTTTTTCCCCTCCCCCCAATGTTAATGTAAGCACTTACCTTAAATGATGTCTCTTAATATGATCTTCTTTTTTCCTGTTGTTTTCAGCCTTCCCTCCAGCGCTGCTGCGGGTCTCCGATCCAGCGCTGACTCCTCTGTGCTTGCTGGCACTTCCTGTCCCACGGTGTCTGCATGCGGGTGCACACGTCCATATACTTACCTTGTGTCTCTCCTCGTCTCCCGACCGAAAATCTGAACTGTGCATGCACCCGCCCCAAGATCCTTTGCGGCCGCCCACGATTTTTCAGATTTTCGGACAGGAGCGCGCGGTGAAGACACAGGTAAGTTTTAACCCATTTTAAAGTGTTTATATATATATAATACATAAAAAAAGTAGGTATACATTTAAAAATATTTAAAGAACTTCAGGTTTTTAGAAAAATTAACCCCTGCAGTGGGACGACCCCTGCACTGCAAGGGTTAACTGCTCGATTCTCTCTAGGGGCTGAAAAAAAGAAGAAATACTCACCTGACCCTGATCCCTCTCCACTGCAGTTGTGGTATGTCCCTCGTCATCCCCACATGAAATACAGGTGGATGGACTTTATTAGGCGGGATGGCGTGAACAGGGCATAGACCAATGAAACCCAGGGGGAGAAGAAGCTGCAGGAACTGTCTAGCAGCCAGGCAGAATCGAGGATCAGGTGAGTATTTCTTCTTTTGAGCTCCTAGAGAGAAATAAACAGGTAACACTTGCAGTGCGGGGGTAGCATCACTGCAAGGGTTAATGTTTCTAAAACCTGGAGTTCATTTTTAACTCTTCAGAGAAGATAAGGTAAGTAACTGGGTCTGATATAACTGGGTAACTTATAACTGGTAAGTTATAAACAGGCTTATATATACCATACACATAAAAAGTCAAATAAGCATCAAATTCAAACACAGTATAACTTTTCTTTTAACCTAGACAAAAACAAGCAGTTCACCATTGAAGTGCGGGGGTAGCCCCACGGCAAGGGTTAATAATTCTGCTCTGAGTTTTTCTTTAAAGCACATTACAATACAATACAATTTTATTTCTTTATATCCCTGTGATCCCGCACACAGACTTGTATTGCAGACGAAGAGATAGAGTTTGTCAGACTAGATCTGTTGTTAAATGCTGATCACTGATGTGTTGGGTCTAATACTACTGTATGTTGGACTGTAACTCTTTTTCTGCCCACCTTGTGGTCTCATTCCTTCTGCTGCCACATGATAGTCCCACCTGTGCTTCCTCTTATATTAAAAAAACTGAAATCCAACAGGGAATTGGGATGCCCTTAAATCTGAAATATGGTTACAACAGGTTACTGCACTTTGCGCATTATTTTTGTTCTATTCAATGTCTAAAGTAAACCATGCCTGACTGTATGTATACAGTATGTTAAAGACCCGGCTGTTACAAAGGTCCTTTGACTGGCTTTTTGTAAACTCTGATTTGATTAGTTGCTGCATGAGCATGCCATTTTACACATCTTGTTCACATTTTAGACCAATCTAAGAGCAATCTGGCTCAGAGGTTCGGGTAAGTAGAACTTTTTTTTATTTTAGTCCCTAGACACTAATTAATTAACCCTTGCAGTGCTGGAATAGTCCCACTGCAAGGGTTAATAGAGGTTTTGGATGGAGTTCTTCTGTTATGTGTGTTGCACTAAGGTAGCCCATTTATTTTAACGGGGTAGCTTAATGCACTAAAAAAGGTGCATGTAATATTTTCTGTAACACAGCGCACTACAGCACAGATCGCATTGGGGTGATATTCAGAATCAACATAGGTTACCACTGTGTAATGCTGTGAATGTGCACTTAATGTCTGCCATGGGTTCAACTTGAAATTTTCTTGTGATGCTCCAAATAAAGATTATATTGTACATATAGGATGTGATTAGGACATTTCCCTCAGTAAAGGTCCCCACACACCTTACGATAATTGTACGATAATCGCGTGAAATCCCGCGATCGTAAGGTGTGTGGAAGCCGTGCGACCTCTACTACTGTAAGTTCGCACGAGTTTGAACTTACGGACATGTTCGAAAACCCGCCGAGCATCGTACGACGTTCGGCGGGTTTGTGGCATGTCCGTACGATAACAGCCGTTAACCCGCCGAGCATCGTTCGATAACAGCCGTACGGGCCGGTGTGCGCATGCGCACACTGCCCGTTCGGCATTGCGGTCATCGGAAGCCCGCCCCTCAGGGGGCGTGGCTTGCGATCATCGCAAGTACGATCTGCCTATGCAAGATAGGCAGATCGTACGTTTTTTTGAGTACCTTACAACCATCGCAAGACGAAAGTCGTGCGATGGTTGTAAGGTGTGTGCCCAGCCTAAGAAAGACTATATACAGTATATGATAAGCAAACAAAAGGACCTCACCCAGATGAGCTGTAGCTGGAAGTATTCACATTGGGTTTTGTACTGTTTAGCGAGATTCCAGGACTGCAGGAATGAAGGCCTGAATTTGGCGAGGACGGTCTGCTGGAGCTCCCAGGGGAACAAGATGAAGTTACTGTAATACAAGAATCCATGAATGCAAGCTTCATAGGCGCACATATTATGAATTCATCTATACATTATAATAGCTCCTGTTTCCAAAATTGATTTTAATTTTGATCCCACTTTATATTTTAGACCTGAACTCTAAATATTGTCCAAATATAAGAGTCGTGTGTTCTTACTTGAATCTTGGTGTGCTTTGTGTATTTCTTCCAAATCTGTGCGATAAGCCAGTGCAAAACTTTACCTCTGTGCAGGAGCTTCCTTCTATTAAAGACCGGTCAGTGCTGCTGTCTCTTTCTCTGCTGCAGGGTGACTGGTCTTGTTTCCGCCCCCTTCTGTAGCATTCTGCAGGCAGCATGTAGTAGGTGGGGCCTGCTGAGTCCCTCCCACAGCTCTGCTGTCAGCAAAGGCTATGTACAGCACGGCGATGATGTCACTGCCACTGTTACTCTCAGGTAATATGTGGGTTGCAAAGGCATTTGGTGCACACTAAGTAGATTTATATCCTCTGTGGCTATTGTGGAATATATTTATATGAAAGTGTTTGTGCCTTTCAGCTTTAATTTAGTAATTTATGAAACACACACCTACCTATTTAAATTATGGATAGATGTTTGTGACTGGAATCACCCACATGCTTCATACATTTCTCAAGAACATCAGTGTCACAATCTCTCCACCAGAATGCCAGACTGCACTCCGAACGGTAGCTACTGTATTACAAAGCAAGCAAGAGAGTCTCACTTCTTACCCATCTCAGGTGTAGCATGCCACCTGATACCCAAGTGATATGTGTATTCTTATTTTGTTATAGCAATACACTATTTTTGTGGTGTTGTCTTCAAATATTTTTTTTAGTTTTAATTGGCTCAATTCACAAAACTAACACAACAGGATAAGGATCCTTATTTTGAAGCCCAGCTCACACTGTTATACTGCAGCAAAGCACAAAACTCCATGTTATAAGTGTTGGTGTGTTGCAGGGCCATTCATTATTTACAGAACCCCAACACACCTTACCATTGCACTTGCATTGCAGCTTCACAATGCACTGGTGGACTGTGTTACACAAAATAGTACATGCACCGTTTTTAGTGCATTTTGGAGTGTTAAACATCCTTGCTTTACACGTGTGTTAATACACTACATCAGTGTGAATCCAGCCTAAGGGCTTGTTCACAAATGTCCGGACCATGTCTAGACCAGAACAAAAAGCAAAGAAAAGGAAAAAGCGCACTACCGGGGGGTCCAAAGAAACTGGAAGGGGTCACTTAGGCTAGGGGTACAGTGTGCAAGCTCTTTGCAAACAGGGAGAGGTACCCTGTGATGACAAAACCAAAACAACCTATGTATTAAGAGCGCTACTACTGTTGGTATAAGGTTATTGAAAAAAACTCTCAAAAACTCACTTGGTATATGGTTATTGAAAAAAACTCACATTTGAGAAGTCCTTGGATGTTCTCTGGGGGTGATAGGATGGAATCCTTGGAGAAGTGAGGCACAGTAGAATACAGTGGTGTGGACGGCTACGAGGATTCGTGGAGAACGAGCAGCTATCTCACGGCGGGACTCAGCTGGCCAGGCTGAGCCGTAGCGGCCAGACGTGCTCTGTGGAAGGATGCTATGTGACCGTCGGCGGGTATACGAGACGTAACGGTGATGGCAATGAGAGTGTGCTCTCCGAGTGTCACAGTAGGGATAGTGAAACAATTGCCGGTGAAGTGTACGGGGTAGATCGCTACGCGTTTCGAGGCATAAGCCTCTTTGTCAAGCTCGGGTGAAGAACGGAATTGCAGGAAAGTCACAATTTTAAAAAATGACAGCTGGGCGGAGACAGCTTCAATCGCACTGTCCTGGTAGGTGCAGTGGTATAGTGGGGCGGATCGAGTATATGAGCACGCCTCATAAGCCTAACGGGCGGCACTTGGCTTGTTTTCTGCAGTTTGCATCTCACTTTCGATCTGTCATGCAGGATGCAGTGGGTTAAGGGATTCAACTATATTGCCTGCCGAATATATGGACAGGGACTTGTTATTTAGGACTAGATATAAGCATAAAAACATTAAAAGTTTTATTTAAGACGAATGTGACTTCAACCTTTATTATTGTCCATATTTTTGATCAAATACTATTGGAAAATAATACTATTTAAAAATACAAAAGGATAAAAGGGGGTGTTGGTTGGAATGGAATGCCGCTATTATTGATGCACTCAATATCAAGTGTAATTAAAAAACACTTGATAGGCTTGAATGTAAATATTAAAGAAATGCATATTTATATATATATATATATGTGTATATATAAATATATTAATTATGCATTTCCTTCATTTTTGTAACAGGTGATCCTTTAAGTCTTGGTCTGATGAGAAGCCAATCAGAGCCTGTTCTGCCAAAATCATAACTGTTAAATCACCTGTCAATGATCATTCAGTAACACAATTTTTGGGCGTAAAGTTCACAGCAAAATCTGACCACTCCAATTCTCTGGCTGCATCCCCGTCACAGAGATCCCATAGGTGCAGGCAAAACAAGTGCGTGTTCACCTTCAGTCCATTCAGCTCAAAAGACAGCCGCACACCACCGGATCTTCAATTGTAAATCCAATATGTATTGTAATACAAGTGTAAACCACAGGCATGCTCCCCATTACAACAAGAGTCCTCTGGAGGACTCTTGTTGTATTAGGCCTGATTCACAGCTGAGCATTTTTTTTGGCACGTTTCCACGCACATAAATATGCAGAAACGCACAAAACACAAAAGTCAATACATTCCAATGTTAAAAGAGAACTATGAGGTGAGTGCTTTTCACTCATCCTCATAGTTCTAGCCGACCTGTGACAATGAAACTGTCACAGGTCGGCTCAGTAGATCAGGAAATGAGCGAACACATTCTCGATCTTGTCACGGCAGAGAGCCATGACAGGGGAGGGACTGGATTCCCCCTCCCCGCTCCTCCAGCGCTGACTGGCGGGAACGGACGGGGGAGGGGGCGGGTACAGCTGGCCCTGCCTCTAGATAGGCAGAGCCAGCTGTCACTCTGCAAGTTGGGCGGATCCAGACATAATTGTCGGTATCCGTTTCAGCTGCGGCGTCTCAGTATACCGCGAGCTGTGGCTCGCGGTATGCTGAGCTTAGGGTGACGGGAGGACGCTAGTTTGTGTCCTCCCGTTACCCTTAGGAGAACTATGGGGAAAAGCTATGGGGAAAAATGTTCTCCTTTAAACATTCACACCTGCACAGACAAAAACATGCAATGTGAGAAATTCTAATTGTGGTTGTAGCAGGGAACGTGTGGAAAAACGTGCGTTCACTAAAATTTTTGACCGCGGGAGCATGTCTGTCTCTAGGGAGCATGTCTGTGGTTTACACTTGTGGATTACAATAAATATTGGATTTACAATTGGAGATCCGGTGATGTGCGGCAGTGTTTTCACCACAGTTGGAGGGCCACAGTTTGCCCTCCCTGCTAAATTGCAGCGTTTTAGCGGATGGGATAGTGTGAACAGGCCCTAACACTCCTGTAGCCTTGTAAGTGCAGACTGCAGGCTCGTTCTACGTTTATATTTTATTATCACTTTTTTGGTATTGTGTAAAAAAAATACACACAATAATTTTAAAACACCTTAATTTTGTGTGTAAACAATTTCTCCATGTGTTATTGCAGCATCATAATGTTAGCAGTTTTAAAAGTAAAATGAAATGCTCTACTTTGTATTTACATTACATTACAAGGCTCATTTCACAAAGATTTAACAGAACAATAACAAGCTTTATTTTTAGTGGTGTGACTGTAATTTTCAAACCTCATTGGACTAAGTGGAAAATAATTTTTTGAGGCTATGTTCACACCATGTTCAGACCAGATCTTTAAATGCAGTTTTTACAACGATTTTGCCTCGCTCCCGAGCTGTTTTTTTAGCTTAAAAAGTTATTTCATGTGCATTTGCATGTGTTTTTTATGCATTTCCATGCATTCCAGACCAGAGAAAATCAGACAAGCAGTATTTCTTTTTGTCTGGACTGGAATGGACTGCGTGAACAGAGTCCAGAAATACCATAGGGATACATTGGAATGCTTTTTGGTCCTTGAACATACAGTTCAACTGTTCTGGTCTTGCCTGCCGAATATATGGACAGGGACTCGTTATTTAGGACTAGATATAAGCATAAAAACATTAAAAGTTTTATTTAAGACGAATGTGACTTCAACCTTTTATTATTGTCCATATTTTTGATCAAATACTATTGGAAAATAATACTGTCAATGACAAGATCACCAGGTGAAAGCGAAGGGGAAAAAAAAAAAACCCTTTGAAGTATTTTGCCATAATGTGCCTGTTCGCACAGCATACAAGCACATTATAGCCGAATTACCTTGAAAGCAATCCCCTCCAGTACTGCGCTGTCTGTGATACCCTTTGTCACCCGCGCTTACATCTTCGAAGTTCAGCTTTTTCTAGACATGTGCACTGCCAAAAAATTTGTTTCGTTTCGTTTTAAATTCGGATTTGTGTTATTTCGTTTTTCAGGATTCGGGTGTGAAAGTCAATTCGGATTCGGAATTCGGATTCGGACGAAATTCGGTAGCGTTAGTACGAACGTTCGTTTCGTTTTCTGTTCTTATTCGTTTCTTATTCGTTTCTTGTTCGTTTGCAGCAAAAGTGACATTTGAGGGGGAAAAAATATTTTTCTCCTTCTCTAATGTCACTTTGCTCCAACGAACGAAACGAATAAGAAACGAATACGAACAGAAAACGAAACGAACGTTCGTGCGAACGCTACCGAATTTCGGAAATGGAAATTCGGATTCGTTTGCATTCGTTATGTCTGTAATTCGGAATTCGGATACATCCGAATGTCCGAATTTACGAAAATTCGTCCGAATTTCGATTCGGAACGAAACGAATCGCACATGTCTAGCTTTTTCTGCCTCTTAATTGGCCAGGCCAGCATGATGTAACTCCTATGCATGCACACGGTAGGAACTTTATTTCAGCACAGCACCTTGATGTTTTGCATGCACGGCTCAGTGCACAGAGAAAACAAAATTCTGACAGGTAGGTAAGAGAATTTCTACCAGAAGACACTTACAAAGTCTATTCTGCTATATAAAACCTGACTGTCAGTATTTAAAAAAAATACTTTAAAGATTGTTAAACTTCTATATATTAAAGTTTTATTTTGGGGTTTAGATTCACCTTAAAAATACTCATTACAAAACTAGGTTTGCAATATAGAACATTGGGAATTATTAATTTTACCATAGTAACATTTAGCAGTACTATTGGCAAAAGTTTTATTTTCCCTCCTGTCTTTAATAATTAATGCATACCAGCATATTAACAAATTACATTTCATTATTGTTTCAGATGTCACACATACAACTTAAATATCTATTACATTTTGATAAATAAATGATTCTGCAAGGTTAGTTATTGGGTTGGCATCCGCAGTGTATGTGTAAATATTCTCTCTGTACTGTTATCTTACCTGTGCTGGTCATTGTGCTATGTACTGGAGTGATAGCTAAAGACCCCAAAGAACCAGATGATACCTGACACAGAAAAGAATATCATTATAATTAAATTACAATATAATACTTTCAACTACTGCCGACATCACATGAAACCATCCAATATTTCTTTCAATATTGTGAATGTGTTTAAATTGGAATGCCCACTTGATCTCATTTTAATCTAGACATTGATACAATCCATGTGAAGCCAGGGAAATTAGACCAGTCACAAGATACAACTCGTGCTGTGTAATTTCCTCTATATCTTTCAATGTGCGTGCAAAACTGCGAGGATTCACAAAGAACAGCGTCTGAACCAGTGAACACAGTGCTCTGGATTTTCTTAGAATCAGGGTTGCCACAAACATGCCATGTGTTTTCCCCGCATTGTTTTAACGCGCACCAATGCACACGTTGTGGCACACGTTCACACGCACAAAAAGTGTGAATAAGACCTGAGATTTTTATAGACAGCTCTCCTATGAATTCCTAAAGTCCCTAGACTACTTTGGCAGCTAAAGTTAAAGTGAAAATCCAGGAATTTGAAAAGTTTAACCTTGCAGTGGGGGCTACCCCAGCATTGCAAATGTTAAGTGCTCATTTTGTTTAGGGAGTAAAAATAAAGACGATATACTCACACGATAATCGGACCTGCCTGGCTGCTAGACCAGTCCCTGTAGCCTCCTCTCCCCCGGGCTCTGGCAGTCTAAGGATCTGTGATGTCAGCTTGTCTAATACAGTCCATTCACCTGCATTAGACGTGAGGACGCCAAGGGACATTTTACAGCCAAAGCGGAGGGGGAAACAGGTGAGCAGTCACTGCCACAGGACTGAGGATCAGGTGAGTGTTTCTTCTTTATTATCACCCCTAAGGAAAAATTAGCAGTTAACCCTTGCAGCGGGGCTATTCCCACACTCAAAGTCCTGGAGTTCTTTAACAAGAAGGAAGTGGCACTGAACAGTAAACAGTTGGTCAAAATAAGGCTAATTCACCAATCCAACATGTGTTCATCAGTTTAGTGTTATCAGTGATTAAAGGAGAACTATGGGGTCAGGGCTTTTCCCCATAGTTCTCCTTAGGGTAACGGCAGGACACAAATTAAGGGCTGTATCCTAATGGATACGCGCGGGCGTAGGGCATTTTTCAGCACGTTCCGACACGCTGAAATACGCCCAAGTGAGAACCATGCCCATAGCAAATAATGGGATTTCACTTGCTGGGCGTTTTACAGCGCGTCGATCAGCGCTGTAAAATGCGCAGGTGTAAACCCGGCCTTAATGGCTCTAAAATTATTGCTCTCACTCCGTTTGCAGCGATATGCAACATGTGTGGCACGTAGGCACACCTGACGCATATATGCGTGTGTATTAGGGGGACGCGGACTTAAACAAATTTTTAATTTTTTTTTTTACATACAACTTTATTGCTATTACATGGGGGGGCTAAGAAGCCCCCTATGGGATAGCCAATTTACCTGACAGGTCCTCTTTATGGAGACATCAGGGGTCTCCAAGACCCCTAATGTCACCTAGGGACCTCCAGAGAAGACAACGGCAGTGACAGGTTCTGATACAAGCGATTGAGTGTCTCTCGCGACGCTCGATCGCTTGACTGTAAAGCTCCCGGCCGGCCGGGAAGCTGCTCGTCGGCCTCCACCGTCTGCTCGTCACAGACGAGCAGAGGAGTGGATTTTTTTTAGCCCTGTATACCAATTTTTCCCAAAACAGAATATTTATCTATATATATATATATATATATTGTATTGTAACAATATACAGTATGCAATTTAACTTTCAGTGTGTACATAACATCTGCTGTGTTATTTTCTGTTCTGCGATTGCCTTCTCTCATTTTACTAGTTTGTGTCTAGTATTAGTAGTAAATATTATTATTTACGTATCATGATCCCATGTGGTAGTGTTGCTGGTGCTTATTTTGTTGTGATACGTGAGGACAGCTTCTAGTTCCATAGGTATGTTTATCGCGTGGTATAACTTGATTGATGTGTGTGTTATTTTGACTGCATTACTTATTATACCTCACACCAATTTTCTTGTCAAAACGTTCAATTTACAAACATAAATATTGACTACTGGTATGGCATCAGCATCTCATCGCGTGACATGAATATTTAACTATTGAAAGGCTCGACTGCTCATAAGTCTGCATTATACCTTAACTTTAGGGCCTGGTTCACACCTGGGCGTTTTTCAGCGCGTTCCTACGATCTGTAAAACGCTCAACATGTGAAAACCAATGATTGCCTATGGGCATGGTTCCCACCTGGGCGTTTTACAGCGCGTAGGAACGCGCTGCAAAACGCCCTACGCCCAAAGAAGTACAGGAGCTTCTTTGGGGCATATTTGCTGTGCGTATCCATTGGGATACAGTCAGGTAGCCCTCGGAAATGCACGAAAAACACGAATCGCTGTAAAAATGCACGACAAACGCGCATATTCGATATGCCTAGGTGTGAACCCAGCCTAAATGTCTTTATTGTCTTCTTCCCTCAATCAACATCTCATAGAACCTTACAATTCTCATCATTCAGAAGACAGCTATATGTTAAGCTAAATAACTAGTGGAGAATATTAACCAGTTGAAGTCCGCGGTGTTGAGCCCCCTTCCCATATAGGCCATTTTTCAGTATTCAGCGCTGCAGTACTTTGACTGACATTTATTCCGCCATGCAACGCTGTACTGAAATAATTGTAACAAAATTTTTTGGGGAACAGATAGAGCTTTCTTTTGGTGGTATTTAATCACCACTGGGGGTTTTATTTTATTTTTTACTATATTAAGGAAAAATGACCGAAATTTAAAAAAAATTATTTCCCCTATATTAAATGATAAAACATTTATTATTACCCAATCAAAATATAAAAGACGGGGTCACGTCGAGTAAAAAGACACTAAACATGTCAAGCCTTTTTTGAGGTTTCACGTGCGCACATGAAACCTCAAAAAACTATAATACCCAAAATTGGCCATAGGCGACGCTTTAAAAGCTTTTACCGCTCATCAGTTTAGTGTTATCAGTGATTGATGGCCCTAAAATGATTGCTCTCACTGCGATGTTCATACGGCGATATGTAACGTGCGTAGCGCAATTGTCGTTTTTGCGCGCTGGTGCACCGGACGCATATTTACGTTTATATGTGCGTAAACGTGGGCGTGGGGAACTTAAACATTTTGGGGGTTTTTTTTAAACTTTTTTTTATATGTGACTTATTTTTTTTAACTTTTTTTTATTTATATATATATATATATATATATATATTTTTTTTTTTAAACTTAATGTTATTGCTATCACATAGGGAGCCGATCGTGTATATGTTAAACAGCCGGTAACGGCTCTTTACATTTGCACGGGTTTCTTCTGCCCATGCGCACGCGCTAGAGCAGAAAAAAAAATGCCGTCTGGAGACGTCAACCCGCCAATGCAGCTGTACCGTCCGTTTTTTTTCAACGGGCGGACGGTAACTGGTTAAAGGGTATGTACTGGGGATGCTCGGATACCGATACTTGTACTCGCCCAAATACTCCTGATGCTTATTCCGCTACCAGAACTTCCACTATCAGGAAGCCGAGTGGCGATTCATTACATGCTCCATGGTAACAAGGGAGCATGGAGCCGGCTTCCGAGCCAATCAGGAAGCCGGCTTCATGCTCCCTCGTTACGAGTCATTACCCACGCCCCTGCTCCGTGATTGGTTGGAAAGCTGGCCAATTAAGAAGCCAGGCGCCGAGTCATTGCCCGCCCCCCAGCTTCCTGATTGGCCAGAAAGCCGGCTCCATGCTTCCTCGTCACCTGGTGACTTCTGGTATCGTTATTCGCTATTGGCGAATACCCAAAACAAATATCGGCACTCATACTCTATACCGAAAAACCAGTATTGGTGCATCCCTAGTATGTACACCTTAACAACTCTTCTAACTTCTCTTATTTGGTTATTTCTGGTCCATTAAGTATACTATTGAAAGTTTGTGTATATCTTTTGAATAAGTGCAAATAATACTTGTTGAACCTGCCAGAAATTCTGTCAGCTGATAACATTTTGTGCACTCTGCCTGTACTGCATTCTTGTAGGTTACACTTTTACTAGCTATCTCTGAGGAATACAGAACGCTTGCCCTCTATGTTATGGAGAAGAGACTGAGGGTGAACTGTTTGTAGACATATCCTGTAGTGACAATGCTGCTTCTCCATAGAGACAGTATGGTGAGTGAGCATTGTCATCCTAGGCCAGGTAACATAAAAGGTAAAAAGCCTCACATCTAAGGACTGGTAAGCTACAATACAAAAACAAAAATTGTTTACTGGGTTAACAAATGTTTTAAAGGAAACCTGTTAATAGGATTGTTTTTCAAACTGCTCCTGCAAAAGAAGATAATCATTATTTACCTCTATGGTGAGCAGTACTTCAGATCTCAGCAAACCTTGCTGAAAAATCCTCTATATCTGACACACTTCCTGGAGTGTCAGATGCCTTGTCCCCTGCCTTGCACTGCAGTTGCTTCTTCTGGCCCTATGCCACAATAGTCATCTAAGGGCTAGTGGATGGAACCATACGCAGGGGGCTCAGGCATCCAACATTCCCAGAAGTATCAGATGTGAAGATTCTGGCAGAGGCCATAGAACTTTGAGAGAGCAAATATCCAAGGCACTGCCTGCAGAGGGGTAAGTATTGTTTCATCTTTTGCAAGGGTAAAGTTGTAAAAATAAAGTCTCTTTAACAGAATAAGCATCTGATACCTACATGCTTGCTCTTTATTTGAAGATGGACAAATGCAGAATATTTTAGGTGCATTCAGCTTGCATTTGAGATTAGTTCTTTCAGAGGTGCTTTTGACTTTTATCTGATCTGGATTTGACCCCTTCTAAGCTATATTAGGGATCTATGAATAGAGCCCCTGCTGATGGCAACAGTACAGAATGAATGTCACTATTGTGACATCTTTGCCCATTCAGTTTTTTCTCCAAAAAAAAAGGAAAAATAGTAAACTAAGAGGACCCAGGTTAAGTCTATGGGGAGCCAGATGTAAGTGAACATGTGGCCATTAAAATTCAGTTACCTCTAAATACTCAGAGGTAACTGAATGTAAAAGATGAAGGTCTGTTTACGTCTGCCGACTCATAGACTTACATTGAGTTTCCAATCAGGTCTGCCTCAAAACTGACAGACGGACCCGATCAGAACGCAGTGTGACTGAGGCCTTAAGTTGCTTCAAGCTGCTTTTGCATTCCCAATGGCTTGTAGGCTTGTATTGAAAGAAAAGCAGTTCTAAGCCAATCATAGGGTGTGTAAAAAACACATTGGGTCAAAATTGCAATTTAACATAACTATTTTTACTTTTTAATACATGCTAGTGTATGGGCAGCTAAGTCCAAATGGACAGAGGTCCTTTTACACCTGGTTACCCCCGACTCTGGCCAGGTCCGAAAAAACAAATGGAACAGAGTTCCGTTTCGCTGGGTAGGGGGTAATCTGATGTAAACGTACACATGTTCGGCAGTATTAGTTCTTGTAATTGAGGAAAAAACTGGAGGGACACAGATGTCACATTAGTGACATCCGATCTGTACTGCTCCAGTCAGGATCCATGCGCGGATCCCTCCGGATCAGCCTGTGTGAAAGGGGCCTTAGCAGGATTCATCCATTTCTTCTTGTTTGCTTTGCTTTCAATGTTTCTATAACACATAGATTGATTTTTACTGAACTTTTATGTTTGAATAGCATGCACAAGACTACACATAGCCGACTGTCATTTATACAGTTCAGTAAATATGACAAGTACTCGATTGTAGACAGTTTTCAATCTTACCATTCTTGAATTATAGATAGGAGACTTCAGAGGCAAGTTAATTGGACAGTTAATTCTTTTTTCCTTCTGGCGACGATTACAGAACCAAACCCGCACCACTTCCTTCTCCATAGCCAACTGTTCAGCTATCATGCTGATTTCCTCTGAGCTTGGCTTTGGGTTCTGGAAGAGGAAATCGACCATGTTTGTAAAGATAACTGACAGTAAATATGTGGAGACTTATAAAACACATACTTACATCTTGAAATCGTTTCTCCAAAGTCAGACGTATGTTAGTCTCTATACTTGTCCTTTTTTTCCTTTTCCGTCCAAACATCTCACTTAATTGCGGATATGTTGTATTTGTTGTCATAGCAGAATCTGATGGGGCAGATTCTAAAAGGCCAAAGATAAGATAATGAGCATATCTGTCCTTATTTCGTAGCTGAACATATTAAAGATCAACTCCTGACACAAGGCTTTCCTTTAAATATATTCCTCAATAGTCACTAAATATATAAATCCACTTTAGGTGCACCAAATACCTTTGCAAACCCAAATATTATCTTTTAAACGTATCAGTGGCATCATCATTATGAAAACTTTCAGAAATTATTAAATTAAAGCTGAAAGACACTTAACTTTCATATAAATATATTCCTCAATAACCACAAAGGATATATGTGGCTTTTCTACAGGCTTCCTGCAGAAAACTACCGGAGTGGGCAGATACAAGACCAGTTACTCTATCAAGAATCTATATTGTAAAGCGCTGCGCAAACTGTTGGCGCTATATAAATCCTGACTAATAATAATAATAATAATAATAATAAAGAAGACAGAGCAGAAATGACTGGTCTTTACTACAGGAAGCTTCTGCACAGAGGCAACGTTTTACACTGGATTACTCCAGAGATTTGAAAGAAATACACAAAGCACACTAACGTCCATAGAGGGCACTGACATGCATAAGAATTTCCTAAACTTGTCAGCGCCACCTGGGGACGCTAGCACCATGTGAAAAGCATCCTGGGCTGAACTTTTATATATGAGCACCGAAGATTCTAGTAAGAATACATGTGCCTACTGCATGTAGACAATAGTATCCCTGGAGTTCAGGTTTAAACATACAATTTCTTTTGCTACATAATATAGTACACATTAATTAATTTGTACATAATCATATCAGTATTACCTGCATCACTCAGCCACTTCTCCAAAAGAGGTTTCAGCTTACACATGTTTTTAAAACTCAGGTTAAGCGCTTCAAACCGAGAAATTGTTGTTTGGCTAAAATCGTTCCCATACAGCTTCCCCATAGCCAGGCCAACATCACCCTGTTACCGAATAAATCAAATTTTTTAATGTAAATTTTATTCATATTTGCAATATATAAAATCACAATTACATACCTTGTAATCACTATTCCGCCCCTTCCCTTCGTTAGCCGACAGAGCCACTTGGGCCGGTGTTCTATCGATAGTCCCAACTTATGGAGTTCAGGGACCGAGTTCTGGGACCGCCTGACTTCCGGTTTCCTTAGAACTACGAGGTTTGGTCAAGAAAGTTCTCGAGCACCATCCGCGGCATTGCCCTATATACATACACCACAGCAATAAAGTACTAAAATTAACTAGGATCACACTAATCCAGCACGTTATTAAGCCGGAGATAGAGCTGGGCACCAACCCAGTTAGCTTGAATGAGTTAGGAACAGGTAGGGTTCACATCTACATTAAAGTATACCTGAACTCAAAAAGTGAATATATATTATAGGGAAAATCTATAAATGATAATTGCTTGTATACAACATTTTTTCTTTTTGTCTTGAATTCCTCCTAATAAAAATAGCGGTGCACTTCCTGGTATGTGGGAGTGTGCCTAAGCATTCCTGTGCCTATAGCCTCATAGCTGTATACAGTATATGCAGTGTGAGATCTAAGGCACTTAATCCTCTGACTTCTAGTCCCAGGAGATTTGGAGTGAGATTTGGTGATGTAACTACTGTGCTGGTCACTGTTCTCCTTCATGGAGGATCTGGTTTTGGTTCTCTTGGAAGTCTGCCAGACCCAGATTTTTGGCTTTCAACAAACTTCCAAGTGAACCTTTCCCAGGCCAGTTCATTCAGTTCATGCACTGGTGATTAGTTCTTTGCCCTCTGCTTGTTTTATTTGTGCACAGCTTCCAGAGCTCAGTTTCTCCTCTGTGGAGGATATGATTGTGGCAATTCTAGAACACAGGGTTATGGGAGAGTTACATCTGAGTGTTGTATAATAATGTAGTGATTAAATGTATTTGCCTTTTGGTTTTGACTGAAATATGATCATTTTTGGTATTATAGGACCTCTGTGTACCTCAGCTCTTTTCTCCAAATGGCTACCTAAACTGATGACAACATTGCAGGGATTTTCCCTTTGGTTTTATAGATGCACTTCTTCCTTCAAACGGTCACGCCAACGTAACAGGTCATTAAACACTTATGTATAATACACTGTACCATTATCTTAATCTATGCCATGTTACATAATATGATACATTTGTATACTTACCTTCATGTATATCTGTCTATATAGAGTATCTTCCTTCCTGCTAAAGAAGCCCCTATATTGGGCGCGAAACGCGTTGAGGAACATTGGCATCCCTTGATACCATGACACCGTGACAATATCGCATTTTTTGGACTCTATATGGTCTTCAGATAAGTTATCAATATTGCGGGTATCTTTATAAGGGAGGTCTTCATTGTATGACACAACACGAAGGAAGGATCACTTTTTTAAGTGTTTTATTATGCACAATCAAATTTTCTTTTATATGTATTTGTATAAAATAAAGATGTCATCTTAACATACTTTTGTGCTATATTAGTGGTGTTTCTGACACCTTAAAAGCCCTTATCTTTGCTGCATTATTATAATTTCATTTTTGGGTGTGGTATCGCCTTTGCTCCATATTCATCCCCAAATTCTATATATTACATCTGAGTGTTGCTGATATTGCAAACTCCTTGTACAAAAATAGGAATCCGAAGAGAGAATACTGGAGGAAATAGCTTTCTCTGTGGCTTTTTCTTTCAGCTTTGGAACAATACTGCATCAGGCAACTCTGCAGTATCCTAACCTCTTAGTGCTGTCACGGAATGCAGAGAATGAGATGGAGTTTAATCAGGGTCATTAAAATTTAATAGAACTGTAGTGATTGAAAAGAAAAAGAAAACAACCCTTCCCTCCCCTCAAAGTATATTTTCTTTGTTTATTACCTAGCTCCAATAAATTGCAGATAGTTTTTTTAGAGAGTATACAGCATCCTTTCCCTGTCCATGGTCCCAAGGGAACCTACATCCAAATTCACCACCATACTAATACACATATTAGCAGCATGGCTGATTTATGAGGTAAAGACGTGAAGTTATAGTGCTTGTAAGGTTAAATTCAAACATTTGCACATGTGATTGTGAACTCCCTTCAGTGTCATGTCCCATTTTCTTATCTATCTCTTTATTCAAACCTGATGATTCTGACAGTAAAATTGCTTCGGGGCCTATCCTCCCTATTTGTGGCATCGCTATAACGCTATAATACAGTACGTCATGACTAGGGATTAGCTCATGCTGGGACCAAACCCGATCTGAGCCTAAGCTCCTCCAAACCCGGAAGCACCCCAAGGCCACCCTCCCAATCATCTGTGGGCTGGGGCATTCCCTGCCCTGCAGCTGAACATAAACAAAGGGGTGGTGTCAGTGACCTTATATGGCCAGATGGCTATAGTATGTCATTGTCATTGAGCAAATATAGCTATGTGGTCACATAAGGTCAAAGGTGTCAGTGTATTCTACCCCTTTGCTTACGTGCAGCTGCTGGTGGGAAATTCCCCCGCCACAGCTGGTTGGGTGGAATGTTTTTCCATGTTCGCATCTAAGCTTATCCTTAGTCATGATGCAGCCATTTCCCCAGCATTCGCCTTTGATGATGTGTGCTGACCAAGAGGCTGGTGTCCCCCACAGCTACTGTATCATGGCCAGCCCTGTCTTTCCTCCTTGCTGATTGGCAGAAACAGTGGAATCAAGGATCCTGGCAAATGTAACTGGAAGTGATGTTCCTATCCCTACCCACTCCAAAGTTATAAGATAGCAGTCACATGACCACTGGAAAATTTTGAGCATACCTTTTACTAATTGACAGTACATAAAGTTGGAACAGAGAGAGTGCCAAACACACATATCAAGAGTCCAAAAATATATAGGGGTCTTTTCACTAAGCTGTCGTAGGCAGCCGAGTGAATGAGCGACCTGAAGCGAAGTGACCCGAATACTGTTCGGCTACTCACTTCAGGCTGGTATGGCTGATTTCAGCCATATATCGGCTGAAATCAGCCGTACATCGGGTGGCTTTGCGTGGCTTCGGGTCGGCCGAACATGGTTTCCGCACTGATTTCAAAAGGTCGGTTTTGGGCGTTTTGAATTGTGTTTCAGAGCTGAAACGCAATTAAAAACTCCCAAAATTGCACTGATCAGCATGGTTCCATTGAAAGCTGTTTGGAAACCGTGCAGATCACAACGCAGAAAAAAGCTCAGGGAGCAATTCGGGCAAGAGGTCATTCATGTCGGCGGATCTGCATGGCCAAATCCGCGCGGCTGAACCTGCCCTGTTGTGAACAGGGACTTATACAGTATACTATCTCAGACTCTAAAATACTCTAATGTACATCAGCATTTTGGATACTCTTTCTTTTTTTTTTTTTTTTTACCTTGCATTAGCTTATCATGCTGTTCACCAGACGGTGGCACTGTAACACCATCTTCCTATACAGCACCAAATATTACTTATTCTTGGATTCTACCCAATAAGCATGAACAAGTAATCTATATTTTATAGGAGTATGTTTTTTAGCTACCTGTCATTTTAGCACTAGGTCTAAAATTTAAAGTAATAAATACTGGAGAAAAGCAATTGTTAATTTACTGACCAAAATTCAATAAATATAAATAAATATCATTAGACTTCACTTGCTCCTGGTGGATGGACAGCCTTTCATTATCATTCCACAGGATTGCTGAGTAATGCTAAAATTGTTATTATAGAAAGGCACTGTCATTTCACCAGTGGCGTAACAATCACCATAGCGACCCAGGTGGCCAAAATGGGGCCCGGGGCACAGTGGGGCCCAGCCAGATGCCGTGCGGGCCGCCTGGGTCGCTATGGGATCCTCTGCTGGTGGCTTTCACTGGAGGCTGAAGACAAACACGCCGCTGTTCAGATCACTGACAGTAATCTGTGCAGCAGCGCGTTCCTCTCCACAGAGTCAATGAGAGCCAGCAGCGACGGTGGAGCACGCTGGACCTGGCAGTGGAGGAGGAGGCGGGGCCCAGTGATGAAGAAGGAGGCGGGGCCCATCAGCGACCGTGGATGAAGAGGAGGCGGACCGGTAAAGAGTGCGACCAGCCCACCTGAGGGTGACCCTGCAGAGCCCACCATAGAGAGTCTATGGTGGGTTCTGCAGGGTCACCCTCAGGTGGGATCTCGAGTGGGCTCTGCAAGGGGTATAACGGGGGCCCCATAACATTTTTTGCTATGGGGCCCTGTGATTTCTAGTTACGCCCCTGCATTTCACTATACTGCTACACTGATGGAGAAGTCTGCAGACATGGATGAAGCTTTCTATGTAAACTACCCACAAAAAGCTGCATTTATAAGGACACATGTGAGAGGAATATACTTTTAGTACATTACTTGAAAAAGTATTAAACAGGTTTCTACTCTGATAACCAACCAATGTGTCACACTGATGCACCTTCTCAGAACACGGCTTTATATCTTATTTTGGAATAGCTGTTTACTTAGTGAGCAGCTTATTGGAAGACTACGGCTTAGCTCACACTTAACTTTATGAGGTGGGTTGCGTTGACACTCACATTAGCACTGTGCATTAACATGCGCTAGATTAGATAATGCACCTCAACGGCCCGAAAATTGGACCCGCACCATTTTTGGCAGTGCAATACATATTAGTATTTTGCCAAGAGTTTCGCTGCAGTGCAGCGCACTTGAGGCAGCATGGTGTGTTGGGTGTAACACTGCACCATTGCAAGTAGCAAGAAGTGCTGTGCATTGCAGTAACACATAGAGTAACATGCACATTTCCACAATGCAATAGTGTGACTAGGCATAAGCCGCTCTTTAACACTTGTGCAGCTGGGCATGGCAACCAATCAGCAACTCTCTTCGGTTTGTACAGTTAAAGGTGCCCATACACCTTACGATTATCGGACTAAAGTTTTCGTCCGATGATCGAACCGTCGTACGATTTTCGTACGACGGCCCCATCCTGCCCCGATTATCGCAAGGTTCAATCAGCGGTAGTTAGAAAAAAACACCTGGACGACTTGCGGTAATTGACCGCAATTATTTTCGTTTGCGCATGCGCAGTGTTAATCGTACGACTTTTGGCGGACTGAAACGCCACCAACCATGCGAACATCGTACGATCAACCAAAGTTTTCAAACATGCTTGACCGTCAAAAGTCGTACGATTGTACAGTACTATCGGTCGGGCACTCTATTCACACGTTACGATTGTCATACGAAAAGTCGATCGCATACGATTATCGTACGATAATCGTAAGGTGTATGGGCACCTTAAGATTTGAAAAAGAAAGAGAGAAGCTGATTTGTTGCCATGCACAGCTGCTCCAGATTTTGTCTGCTACAGTTCTGATAAATTCCCCCAAAGGTACTTTGTTACTGTGTATCTTGGTATGATTTCACAAACCTGAAGGCCTCATTCACACTGCTGCGCATATACGCGCGTATGTACGTATTGTACCATATGCAACATATACAAATAAATGGCTTCATACACACAGCCGCGTATGGAGACGTATATTTGCGCAGCGTATATGCGCAAAAACAGAATGGAACAGAGATGCGTCCGGGCAGCGTATCTCTGCGTATTTACGCGCACATACGCTTGTTTACACACATGTACGCGCACACATGTGTACAGCACATTAAAATTCCATTATGATTGATGCATTCTGGGATTGCATATAGTGCACGCATATATGCATATAGTTCACGCATATATGCATATACGCGCATAGACGCTCGTATATATGCGCATATACGCTCGTATATACGCGCATAGACGCGTATATACGCAATGTACATTTTTGCTTGCGTTGTGTGTGAATGAGGCCGAAAGCACATGGGGCAGCAAGGTACCGTACATTTGGGTGCCATTAACAACATTTGGCACTGCAGCACTAGCAACATCTACTATAGTCAGGCTGCATAGCAACATGCAGAGTGTAGGCCACACCATGCTCGATGTGGAAGAATTAATATGGCCGGTGAGGCCAAGGACATTGGCTTATGCTAATCGGGATGGTTACCCAGCCTCACCCAAAAAAAACAAAGATAAGCTTATTTCTTTATTCAGCATATAATTGTTGTTTGATATGCTAATGTATGCTCAGAAAGCACAACTACACAGCACAACACAGAACAAACAGGAAGCAGATACAAGAGAGATGATATCACTTAATTATATCATAGTAGATATGCCATTGTGGTAACGCTCGGACCTCAGCACACATGCATTAGTGCCATTCATATTGAATGGCACCCAAATGCAATAAGGCAACACACTGTAGTTCACTGCTGTGGGAAGCATTTATCAATTTGG